GAAGAAGGCCCTTCACCAGCATCATCATCATCACAGAGCAGGCTCTGGTCTGAGATGGAGGCATGGGTCTTGGCTCTGGCCTTCAACTCAGAATCACTGGGGAGTGCTACAGTCTCAACTCCAGCCTCACTGGGCAGCACTGCAGACTCACTTCCGGCCTTGCTTGGTGATTCAGTCTCAGCTCCAGCCTCTGTCTGGGTCTCTCCAGATGGCACTCCAGCATTACCTGGGATGGGCAAAGGCTTCTTCTTCTGCCACTGCAGCACTGCATGAATCATTGGGATGGCAAAGGCAAGAGTTTTCCCACTTCCTTAACAAATAAAAGAAAATGGTGTGAATCAACAAATGCATTTATAGTTTTCATCTGCAGTTCTGTCCTTTGCATAGAATAAGGGAACTTGAAATAGCTTAGAGATACCCTGACCAACATAAAAAGCTCCTCTCTGCACAGATTCCTTCAGAGCAAGGCAGCCAGAGAATCTATAATTTGGAACACAAGGAAAAGTGGCTGAGTTTGCCAGTGATGAATTATAAACATACAAGCAATGAAACCATTAAGAAATGGACAAGTTTTATTGTTTTAAAGGAACAAGACACTAAAAAGTCAGGAATGCAATTCTATATGATATTTTCCTAAAGCCTTTCTTTGGTGAAAAAGGGAGAAAAAGAAATTTTCTTAGTTTTTCAGAAAATTTAAATATAACACTTTTGTCCGTACTTGAAGATTTTTCAAACTGACTTTTTAATATACAGTACATGGAGCCCAAATTCCTATCATCTGGGTGGGAAAAACAAGCAACACCTCAAGCTGAGAATTTACAGCTGGCATTTTACTTTCCATGGCTTCAGATACTTGTGGTCAACCATGTCTGAAAATATTAAATGAAAAATTCCATCAATGAACAATTTATAAGTTCTAAATTGGACACCACTCCAAGTGGCACGATGAACTCTTGCACCTTCTGGCTCCTCCTACCCAAGAAACACAATCTTCCCTTTGTCTCGAGTATTCACACTGTATATGCTCCTCCCCTCCCCATCCCCTTAGTCAGTCAGCAGCCACCTCAGTTATCAGAGTTAATGTCACTGCCTGTGTTTAAGCAACCCTCATTCTGCTTAACAATGACCCCAGAGTACAAGAGGAGTGAGGCTGGCAATTCAGATCAGCCAAAGTGAAGCCATAAACTTGCTTTAACCAAAAAGCTGAAAGTTCTTAAGGAAGGAAAAAAAAAATGTGATTGCTAAGAACTAGGAATGAATTTTCTTTCCATGAAATTGTGAAGGAAAAAGAAATTAATACTGGTCTTGCCAGTATACCTCAAACTGCAATGCCACTGCTTGGTAAGTGTTTAGTTAAGCTATAAAAGGCTTACGTGTGTGTGTGTGTGTGTGTGTGTGCGTGCGTGCGTGTGTGCGTGTGTGTGTGTGTGTGTGTGGTGTTCAGGACCATTTGTACCTCCAGCATCCACTAGGGAATCCTGGAAGGCATTCTCCTCAGATAGTGATGTACACCTGTAGTTTCAAAGAAAAAATGCCCTAAGTAGAAGCAAATAAATGATCTCTGGAGGAAAAAGATCATTATAAGCACCAGAAAAGTTTCACACATAACTAGGAAAGAAAATGAGCAGCTTTAAGAATAGCCAAACAAGGAAACAAGGTATTGTAAGAGGAAGAGGAGGAAGAAGAGGAAGAAGAGGAAAAGGAGGAAAAGGAGGAAAAGGAGGAAAAGGAGGAAGAGGAGGAAGAGGAGGAAGAGGAGGAGGAGGAGGATGACGGCAGTAAAACAAAACCATAGAAAAAGATTTTCCATCAGAAACAAAAAAGCAGGAAGCAGCACAGCAACATTTTTATTTGAGAACCTGAAAAAAAATCTGACAATTTTTGAATTCTATACCCAGAAATCTCTTTAAAACAAACGTGAAATAGAGTTTTTTGGCATACTGAAACTGAGATAATTCACTAGCAACATAACTAGTCTACAAGAAATGCTAAAGAAAGTCTTTCATGGAGAAAAAAAAGATGGCATCCAATGAAAATCTTGATCTACACAAAAGAATCAAGAGTACCAGAAATGGTTACTATATAAATAAATATATTTTAAAAACTTCTTTTTTTTTTGGTATCAGGGATCAAACTTGGGTCCTTGCGCTTGTGCAGCAGGTGGCGAAACCACTGAGCTAAATCCCCGGCCCTAAAAAAACCTTCTTTTGGGACTTCAACCACATATAGAAATAAAGTATACAACAAAAAGCACAAAGTTGGGAAGAAATGGAAATATACTCTTGTAAGGCTCTTATACCACATGTGTAGTAGTATATCACTTGAAAGTAAACTACAATAAATTAAATATATATGTAACTGATAATACTAAGTTGCAAAATACAATGTTAATGTATATATTTATATATAGATTCAAATTATAATATATTTACAATATACAAATATATTTTATGTACAAATATATATTTATATTTTATTTATATATTTATGTTCATATACTAATAAATCCATCGTATTTCTATCAGCAACAAATAGAAAGCTTTATCACTTTCAAAAGAAACAATAAATATGCAAAATGTACACACTAAAAACCATAAAACATTGCTGAGAAAATTTAAAGACCAAAGTAGAGAAATATACCACAGTCACAGGTTAAAAGACCTAATATTGTTAAGATAACATCTGTCCTCAATTTGTTCTATAATCAATGCAATCTCAACCCAAACATTAGCTTGCTTTTGGAGAGTATGTTGATTCTAAATTTTATATGGGAATGTGAAGGCCTAGAATAACCAAAATCATTTTTTTTTTTTGGTACCGGGGATTGAACTTGGGTCCTTGCACTTGTGCAGCAGGCAGTGAAACCACTGAGCTAAATCCCCCCCGGCCCCCAAAATCATTTTTATAAAGACATTATAACTAAGTTGATAAAGTATTAATGTATAGATAGGTAAGGTGATCAAAACAAAAACAAAAATGCAAAGTTAACTCAGTAGAAACAATAGTTTCTCAATGAACTGTGCTGAAATAATTAATATTCATACACAAAAATTTTTTAAAAATCTTATTCAATAACATAAAGACTAACTCAGCACCACAAACTGAAACATTAGACTTAAAATAGGGTAAAAATCTTTGTGATCTTGAGTTAGGCAGAGTTCTTAAGATGATACACCATCCATCGGAGAAAACATCAGCAATTTGAACATCAAAATAAAGAACTTATTTCCCTCCTTCTTCCCATTTCCCTCTCTCCCTTTCTTCCTAGCTGGGTATAGAACGCAGGGCCTTGCGCAAGCACAGTACTTTATCTACCACTGAGACACAGGCCCTAGCACTCTCCCAAGGGAGCTCCATCTCCTCCCCCAGAATTTGTGCTCTGTGTGAAACACTGCTGAAACAATGAAAAGACAAGCCAAACACAGAAAGAAAAATGTGTAAATTGAGTATTTGACAAAGGATATGTATCTAGAATGTATAAAAAGCTCTCAAACTCAGCAATAAGAGAACTTAATTGAAAATGGGCAAAAGAACTAAACCAACACTAACAAAGTAGATGGACAGGATGATTTCCAAATAAACATATGGAAAGTTGCCTGACATCTTAGTCACTAGGGAAATGCAAATTAAAACCCCAGGATATAACATTAAAATTTTTAAAGTTTAACAGAATTAAGGACTGACCAAACCAAGTTACGGAAAAGAATATGGACCAAACCCGAACTCACAATACCTGGTAGTTACATAATATGGTACAATCGCTTTGGAAAACTCCTAAAAAGTTACATTTACTAGAAAATCTAGCCATTCTACACCCAACAGTATTTACTCAACAGAAATTAAAGAATGTACCCACACAAAGACTGATATATCTATGTATTTATTTGTAATTTCCAAAAACTAGAAAAAAGTCCCATCCACAAATGGATGAATATTGTGCTCTATGTCAGAATACCACTTATTAATAAAAAGGAATAAACTATTGGTATCTGCAATAACATGGCTTAACCTCAAATTAAGCTAAATAAAAAAGAGCGACTCCCCTCCTCCCAAAGGTATATATTGTATAATTCTACTATATAAAATTCTAGAAAGTGATAGCCTACCAGTAGTTTCCTGAAAAAGAACAAGGATGGGGGGAGGGAGGGATTACAAAGGAATCCAAGGCATCTTTTCAGAGTAATGGTCATATTCATTGTTGCATGGGCAGCAGTTTTGTCTATAGTCCCAAATGTATGGCCTGTCCCGTGTCTTTTCAAGTGCTAGACCTGCAGATACATAGCATTCTGTGGGGGAACAGGGCAGGGTAGATCCAAATGTCAGGCTCTAGTCACAGTAGCTCACAAAGACACTGCCTCTGCGTCTCAAAGATCTGCTTCCAGGACTCTGCACCTACCAAAGAGGTATAGCAGAATCCTTAAGGGCACACAGGCCTATCCTAGGATATGGCATTGCCCTTTCAGTTTTAGGAAATCTATCCTCTGTGAGGTAGTTACTTCATCTATAAAATGGGAGTAATAAGATGGTGTGTTGAACACCTGTGATCACATTACTCTGGGAGGCTGAGGCAGGAGGATTGCAAGTTAGAGCCTAGCCTGAACAACTTAAATAAATAAAATAAATAAATGTAGTCAGTGGCCCTGGGTTCAATCCCAGTGTGTCAAATGAAATAAAGTAAAAATGACATAATTACCTCAAGGTAGTTACAGGAACTGAGTTCGTCAATATAAAGCACTTAACACAGTTCACCGCACATTTAAAAGCCTAGTACGTGTTCTAAGTAATTATTATTATCTCCATTCCCCATTTCCTGGTTTTTCCTTGCTCATCCATCTATAGGATTTTCACACAGGACCTTTTCCCAAGTTTCCTGTTTCTAGTACTGTCTAGGTTTATACAATATAGCAAGTACTGAAGCTGTGGCTACTAAACAGTTCAAATGTAATTACTCTAAATTGACATGTGCTGTAAATTTAAAACACACCAGATTTTGAAAATTTAGTGCAAAAGTATCAACACAAAATACTTCATTGACAATCTTACACGAATTACATTTTGAAATAATATTGATTGGCTAAATGTTTGTTAAAATTAATTTGCACTTTTTAAACTTTCTACATTTGAACAACTCTTTTGAAAACTGCAGTTCTTCCTTATACTGGCATAGATATATCTATCTCTCTAGCAGGCTGATCTTAGCCTTACCTTATTCTTTTCAGCCATTTAGAATGGGCCTAAGAACAAGAAAAGTTACCATTTGCAGATAACTTACAAACTTTACTGTAGCATTTAACCTTCCCGACAATAGAAGACATAAAGTAGTGCTTTCATCTGTATTTTATAACAGGATACAGAAAGATAAAGCTAAGGTACCAAAATCAGGAAGGAGTGGATTTCAACCCAGAGCTGGCTGACTTCTCAACACTTTCTTTGAGGTTAGTCTCATCAATTCTCTCCCAGTTCTCCAGCATATTAACAGCTACAGACTCAATTCTGCCCTGTCAGCAGCCCCTTACCTGTCTCAGCAGCCCCCAGGATGTCCAGCCTGTCACGGATGGCAGGCACCAAGGTCAGGGCTTGGATAGGTGTGGGTGCAGAGAAGCCTAGGAAGCTGAGCGCTCGGAGAACTGGCTTAGGTACAAATAAGTCCTTCCAGGCTGACACATCTGCTTTCTGGTCATGCACTTCAGGCATCCATGTCTTAGCTTTTTTGGGCACCTTAGGGGCAGTGCTTTGGGAAGGCTCTAATTTTTTTTTCCCCTTGTTTTTCTTCTTTTTTGGAACAGTTTGTACCAGGGTTTCTGATGCTACCTTCCCTTCCTCTGGACCAGGACAAACAGTGTCATATCCATGGGGCTCTGGCTCAGCATCTTTGACCTCAAACTCTTTCTGGGTAGAGGTTTCTTCAGTAACAAGTACCACATCTTTATTCTTCTTCAATTTGACCTTTTTCTTTGGGGAACTAGGCTCTCCTTCTTCCTCCTCTTCTGAAACTGTTTGTGCCTTTCTCTTCTTGGGATCCTCTTCGAAGAGACCGGAGGAATTCTTGGCAGGGGAGACCAACCGGTAATCTGTCAGTTCCTCAAAGCACACCAAGTCATCCATCTGTCCATCTGCAAACATATTTGGGTCAATCTGCACCTGCTTCCATTTTCCCACAACTTTAATGCCCTTTGTCTGAAATTTACCACGATGTGGTGGCTTTTGCCTCGATTTTGTCTCCTTCAACTTCATGGTTGCTGAAAAGAAAAGGAGAGAAATGTTCCTTTAGGTTGGTGACTGAGACGCACAGGGTTCTAAGGCAACAAATACTTTCTAACCAACTTAATCAAGTACTGGGCCCTGGAAAGAACTGACCGTACAAAGACTGCTATAACATAGCTGCTCCCACTTAGACAAGATGCTCCCAGCTGAAAAAGACATACACCCACAGAACAGGAAGGTTGGCCTGGAACAGAGAGGATATAGGAGATGGAGCAAAGACATGAGATAAACCTGGCTTGGATTCCAGATCTAACATTTCATGAGTGTGTGACCTTGAACACACTCCTCTCTGAACCTCAGTGTTTTCACCTATAAAGAGGGGAGGAGCCTAATAATACACATAAGCTGAATAACGTAAAAGATGGAGAATGAGGCTTGTTATATGTAAGAATCAAAGGTAGTTTTTCGTTTGTTTGAGGGTTGGGGGGTGCTTTATAAAAAGCGCACTGAGCTATCTTCCTCCTCAACTCAAGAGGGCAAATGCCTGTTTCATCATTCTGGCCTCTGCCACTTGCGTTAAAACCCACCCAGTTTTTTTCATTGCATTTAAGTAGTTTAAAAAACATTTAGGCAGAACTCGTTGGGTGGAACTCGATGCATATCCTGTTTAAGAAAGATAAATTACATGGGAAACACAAAACCTCACTAAATGAAAAGCACTGGATTCTGAGGCAACAAATACTTCAGAAGTTAAACCCCGTTTCAAACTCGGACCCATCACTTCCAGTTCTTGCCAGCCTACGGTGACGACATCAATTTCTGTGAGCCTCAGTTTCCCCATAGGAGGACAGAGAGAACACTTGGGTCGTTACAAGAAAACGACATGGTGACGCAAGTCAAAAACCCGCTCAGCATGGCGCCAGGCAAGGGAGGCCTGCGGGCAATCAGCTTAGGTTCGCCCCCCCCAACCCCACAAACCACCGGGGTCCAGCGTCGGGCACCGAGCGGGGATCACCGGAACCGGGACAAGGACGCGGATAGCGCGGCCCAGCAGGGCAAGCTAGGCAAGGGTCCTTTCTCGGTGCCGGCCGAGAGACAGGCTTCTCGCCTCGTCTGGAGCATTACCCCGCGCACAAAACCTCAAAGCCGAGGCCGCCGGGCCTGGAGACCCAAAGGGCCCCGGGCGCGGGGAGCCGCGTGCAGGCTGCTTGGCCCGCGGCCTCCCTCTCTCGACCTAGGGAACCCGGCAAAGCCCACCCGAAGCGTCACTCCACAGCCCTAACAGGTATCGGACTCAACCCCAGCCCCGCTCCAGTATTTACCACGCGGAGACGCCCGTCAGCCGCCTCTGAAATCCCCAACGCAGTCTCTTAACTGCAGTTTCGACTGCAGTTCCGGGGCGGGACTTTCCACGCACGCGTGCGCGCTTCAGAAGGAAGTCCCGCCTTCACACCAACTTTTGCTACTTGATTGGCTGCTCTGCGGAACTTCTGCGCAAGCGCGGAGAGCCAGGTCGCTGTATATGCTGGACTCTCCCTTGCGGCCTGCTACCTGAACTGAGTGTGCAGAAAAGGCGGCGCAGGTCCCACATTCTAACGGCTGTGCACAAGTCTTGTTCTCTTGGACTAGTTTTGATGTAGTCGTTGTCCACGTGTTGAGTGCCTACTATGTGCTTGGAAACTTGCACACATTTCCTTATTTAATTTAGAACCCAACCAACCAGTGTAGGACGAGCTATGTTTTCCAGATTCGGTTTTGTTTTGTTTTAAGCGCCTCGCCTGTTGCCTATGCCTAACTTCAAAATGCATGCTTTAACGACCAACCTAAACAGGCTTCTTTGTAAGAGAGCAAGAGAAATCAGCTTCGCAGCAGATAGTGACTTTTTCCATGTGGCTGTCCTTGGACCACCTGGAAAACCTTTCTCCTACATCGTGTCTGATGATGTGGGGAAATGGCGGGGAATTCTCTAGGGTTAGATCAGGTGAGTACCAAACCACCCCCTACCATGGAGCAAATATGGGTCAGAGTTTAACTCCCGGGGGAGAAGGACTTGCCACTAGATCCCCCAAATTTGGAGACGCATAGAGCCTGGGCCCAAGTCTGCTAACGAGACTGGAGCTGTCCCGGTGGCTGAATGAGCAGGAAGGGCTGCACCTCTTGATGACAAGATAAGTGCTCTTCTCGGGGCCAGTTACACACACTTGGAGTGATGGGAGGTTTTCTGGGCAGAACCTTTCCTAACAGTTGTTTTCTGGGAAAAAGGACAGCAGAAAGAGGCTGGAAGAGGCCCCTGAGATGGGAATTGGGGGCTTAGAATGGTACATGCTGGAGATGCTCACTGAGGCCCTCTGAAGAAAGAGACAATCATCTGTGTTAATCAGGGTTTTCAGAGAAACTGAACCAACAGAATGCATATGTGTGTGTAAATTGGAAAGAAATTGTTTTAATTTTTTTAGATAGGAGAGGGGATGATTCAAGCCAAGAGCGAAAGGACAAAAACATTGGATTACAGTAGTGGGGACATAGGTATTTTCTCTTCTTCTCAATATTCTAATGGAAAAAAAGTTATTTTCTAAAGAAATAAAATAACGTAACAATTTATTTTAATTAGAGTCAGGGCTTTTTTTCTTTCAGTTGGTAAAATTAATCAAGATCAAGACACCCAATAAGGGATAGGTCCTATAGTTACCAGGGCATGAAACAACATTGAATGCAGCACCATTCAGTGCCAGTGGCTGGAGGAGATGTACTTACAAATGTGAAGATCTGTTTCAAAAAATACAGAAGGGCTGGGATATAACTCAGAGGTAGAGAGCTTGCGTAGCATGCACAAGGCCCTGGGTTTGATCCCCAGTATTGGGAAAAATCCCCTCAAAAATTACTGAAGAGTGGACATGGCTTTGGGGTAATTATCAAAAGTGTTGGAGCAATTGGGACAGTTGAGCTCATAAAACTACCCCCATAAAGATGTGACAGAGCTAGCCAGGGAGATCTCCTAGGGAAGGTTGGGAGTCTGAAATCAGATACCCTGGACTGAAATCAGAGTTCTGTAATACTGACAGTGTGACTTTGGAAAGTTATTTACTTTTCCTACATCTGTTTCCTGATCTGTAAAGTCAGAGCAGCAGTAATCCTCAGAGAGTTGTGAGGATTAAATGCAATAATGTAAGTGGATCACTGTGGTTCATGGTGAGCCCAGGTTGACCTTAAAATTCCTTTTATTGTTATCACACTGTTCCTTCTATGCATACATGTACTTTTGATATAGTACACATCAAAGACTAACCAGTCAGGAGAAAACACATTTCAGCAAAATGCCCCCATAGAATTATTTCAAACCTTTACTGTTGCCAATGACACCAGGATACATTCATGTGCAGATATTTTTATGCGATCGCTTGATTCTTTCATTACAGTGGTCACCAAGAGATAAAATTTCTGCATTAAATGAGCTTCTGATGCACGCTGATAAATCACTGACCAGAAAGTACACATCAGGACACAACCTGCCCATCAGGGAACTAGGAAGATTCCCCTTTCCACCTCCATGCAGAGACTGGATACTTTCAGTTATTTGCTTTTGAAAAATAATCAAATAATAAAGTAATGAACAGATAATAAGGATGTAGTTAGCACCATGCCATTTCCTGCCATGAACGTCTAGAATAAAAACCTATGACCACATGTTCTGCAAATGACCTGGGCTGTGCTAATCTGACTGCTTTGTGAAAGAACACAAAGGTGGAAGGGACCTGGGACTGTGTCTCTGCTGCCATGTGTATTAGGGGGATTTTGGTTTCCTACAGCAGCAGAAGCAGAGCCCCAGTTCTTTACCAGGCAAGATGCAGGTATTAAAGCATCCATTTACTGCCAAAGAAGGATGATAACTGAGGTAGTTTGGCCCCAGAGCCAACAGATGGTGCAGTGCCCTCCCCGTGTCCCAGTTTCTTGATGGTGGCATTCTCGGGTGGCCCAGTTCTTCAGTGTCATCCTAGTGGCAGAGGCCATTTCTGGAAATGCAGCTGAGACCCTCCTTCCCCAAAGCTAGAACACTCCAGTAGTCATTTGAATGCCTGTGTTAAAAGCCATTCTACTTAAGTTACCTGGACTGACTGCTGTTACCGTCAGCAAACTACAAAATAACGTGTACACACACACCCTATACATCACCATTCTTTTACTATTTGTGACATTGAATGTCTTTTTGAACATTTATTGGTGTGTGTAATTCTTTCTTGAAGAACTGTCTCTTCTGGTCTTTTGAGTTTGTATTTTTTAAAAAGACAATTCTTTTAAAAAATCATTTCATAAAAGCTGTTTACATTGAGGATACTCATAGTGCAAAAAATATTTGTTTTGTTTTCCCAAAATAGGTCACTTCTTTCTTCACTTTGTTTATAGTATTTTTAATGACACATGTGGTTTGATCCTGAGACAGCGAGGAACCACCTTGGTGGAACAGTGATGGGACAGAAGGCTAAGGTGACAAAATAAACCCCTGAGCACAGTAAACTATTACCCCTTGTAGTATGGGAAGCTTCAGCAGACCAATCATGAAACCCAGATAAAACTGCAAAAGCAGAATGTTTGCATGAAATAAATTGTTAACAAACAAGGCTGGGGATTTACCTCAGTGGTGCTGCCGCCTGCTACACAAGCTGAAGTTCCCAAGTTCGATTACCGGTACCAAAAAAAAAAAAAAAAAAGAATTGTTAAAAAAACTAAGTAAGCCCTTAGCATCTGGTCTCACTCAACTTATGATCGCTAACTTTGGAGGTCACACTGCTGGGTAATACACTATTGGTTCCCGCTAGTTTTGCTGTAGGATAACATCTTTGTTCTGTGGGTGAAGATAATAATTACCTGGATTACTTTTTGGGGACCTGAGGGCCACTTTTGCTGAAAACATTAACTCTACAGGTGAAGTTATAGAAATCTGACAGGTATCTAAAATGGGATAAAATCTTGTCATCTCTGTCTTCTTATTGTCTGTCCCTGTTGCTGTGTGAACACTTGAGTCAGATTCTACTCAGTTCTGTATATACACATATTGATCATTTTCAAATGTTTGGTTCAAGACTATTACCTTGGCATATTATCTTTGGAGTTGCTGTGTATCTTCTTTTTCTTTCTCTCTTCCCTCTTTTCTCCCCTCACCCTTACGTGTCTTCAGAAGCCACTAAACCCAAGCACCAGAAATCCTTCAGCCCTATCACAGGACCCAAGCCCACAAGGCTGGGATATTTTGCATGGGACAGTGGTGCCAGCTACTCCAAAATTCCACGCACAGCCTCTGGGATGAGTTGACTGTGAACACCTGGTGGCCCAAGTCCATCACAAAAATGAACATCTCTGGAACTGTGCCCCTGACCAATGGGAATTACTGGAATTTAGCCCATGTCGGCAAATCAATAAAAACCTGCTGCTCTCTGTTCTGGGAGCAGCTGCTTGGTTACTGTGTATGTCCTTGCAGTGTCCCAGACTTGTTTATTTGTCCCAGTCTCATTTCTACCATTTCCAGGTCAAAAGATCCTATCATCAGTATCATCATGAAGTAGAGACTTGTCTTTTTCTCCTGGATCATTGCTCAAGAGCTCCGTAAATATGTTTTAAATGAAAGAACGGGGGGAAGAACAAGAAAAGTGAGGATCTCCTTGTTAAGTCAGGGGAGACGGGAAGGCAGGAAGTAAAAGAAGTGACAGAATCTCGGGGTGGGAGAGGCCTTCTGCTTAAGATAGCTTTAAACGCCTTGAGTCTGTCCCTTATTCAAGACAAAGAAATGAGATGGCCAGACTTAGTGCCTGATCCTCCACCCCACGACTTTGTTTAGCTTTACAACATTACCCCCAAACAACGCAGCCAGTGTTGCTTAAATTTTCGCAAGCGTCCTGTGGTTTTTCACAGCTGGGTTGCAGAGTTTCCCTTGACCCCCAGGGGGCAGCATCGATCCTGGCTTCACCGGCAAACGCCAGACCTCAAAGACATTGCTTGCTTGGAGAAATAGCTTTTCCGAATTTCCTATCTCTAGAGTAGTTAGAAAAACAATCTGTGGACAGAAAAGAATGGTGGCTCTCATACCAAATAACGGGATCTTTTGAGCCAGAGATGGTTCAAATATTGCAAGTGCACACGCTCCTGCCCAGGCAAAGTTTTGGGAAAGGGGCTTTAGCCAAACTGGAGCTTCAGCTGAAGGAAGTCAGCAGTTGGTCAAGAGAATAAGCAAGCAGCTGCTCCCAGAACAGAGAGCAGCAGGTTTTTATAGACTTGCCGACATGGGCTAAATTCCAGTAATTCCCATTGGTCAGGGGCACAGTTCCAGAGATGTTTATTTTTGTGATGGACTTGGGCCACCAGGTGTTCACAGTCAACTCATCCCAGAGGCTGTGTGTGGAATTTTTGGAGTAGCTGGCACCATTGTCCCATGCAAAATAT